GTCTTGTGGAAGAAGTCGTGGACGATGGGCTCCTTCCAACCTCGGCAACGTCGAGGCCATTCCCAATGTAGTTCGACCGTGGGGTCACACATCAGGATCCACGCCAGGAAAGCCACGAGGCTTCTGAGCATCTTTCGTTCTCGACGAAGGTGCTTGTTGAGAACGTCCCGCCTGTACCAGTAGTTCAGGTCGACCCAGTCACAGAAGTAGGTGCACATTGGAGACACCCAAATCTTCTTAGGCTTTTCCTTCTTGAAGACGGTCTTGAGGTCCTCATAGGTCTGGTCCTTGTAGAGGTCGAAGCCAGTGCTGAGACCAATGCGAACACCATTCAAACCTTCACGCTCACAGCATTGCGTGATGGTGGAGTTTGGCGAACAGAACATTTCCCAGACATAGGGCTTCTTTCCCAGAGGGGCGTTTCCATATCAAAACCCTACGAAATGAGCATTTCCACTACATCACCCCCCCCAGCCCAAGGCATTTGTCAAGCCCAAACATAGCTTGTAGATGGCAACGTATCAAACCTAACCATCCTGCTCACAAAACATCTTCTTTCTCTCTGCGCGTCGTGGGTCCATCTGTGGTGAGACCAAGCGCTGCCCAGGCCAATCAGCACTCATGCCTCACTCACAACATACACAAGCTGTGCGCATACAGGCAGAAACACTGCTGGCACCTTACAAGCCCCCCGACCCCTGCTTCTTCTCCTAGACGCACAGTGTGCCCCCAGCCACACTTATACAGAAATGATGTTAAGAAGCTACTTGCAACAAAAACAAAGTTTTCATGAGCCCATGAAAACATGGCATGAACAAACATGTCATGAACACATGGTATGAGCTTATGCCAATCACAACTTGTTGAGCACATGCGCACATGCGCACCTGAACACATGAGCATACACGCAGGAAACACACATGGTATGACATGAAGATACATGAACCACATGTCACATGACATGAAAAGAACATACATGAAAACTATATATAGCACCATGCGTGAACACAACACGCGCGTGACATGAACTTTAAAAACATGTTGACTGAGCTCGGCAGGTGCATGAAATCGAGGAAGCAGCAATTATCCAACTGAGGCCCCCCACGCAGCAACTGCTCCAACTCAGTTTTGAGTCCTGCAAGGAAGACAAAAGGAAAACGGAAAAGAAAAACAGCGTAGCCTGCGTCCGTCCTGCCAGGTACCTCTGTAGCGTCGAGGAGAAAGTTTTCTTCTTGTGAGTTTTGGAGGCGATGGTCATGATGTCACTGATCCAAGATTCATCAAGCCATGTGGCACCAACCAAAGGATTTTTTGCGCCGCAACGTGGAATCAAGAAGGTGCACATATAGGTGAAACTTAGGCCGAATGTTGAACATGTAGTAAGGACAAAACCCAATATAGGATTGATGGCACTGGAGGTAGCTACTGCAAAATATGGAGCCAACAGCTCGGACTTGTTGAATGTCCTGCTCCTCCATAAAGAGGCCATGGTCCCGGCGAGATGCAAACAGCACATCAATCACATTGACAGCACTCCACACTGTGGTCTTCACCACATCATCGCAAATCACATCAGGTCGCTGCAGGAAAGTTTCAAGAAACCTCAGGACAACGTCTGTATGCCAACCTTTCCCTGTCAGGTGGCAAAACTTTTGTGATGTCAATGATAACCTGAAGCGGTTCAGTACCCAATGCTTGGGCAACTTCTTCAACCCATGCCTGGACCACTGCACGATTTGCCTGCTGGCTGCTCGTAATCTTTCTTTCACCTGAGCGCAATAGGCAAGATCAACCCAGAAACAGCAAGAGGCCGCGTCAAAGAAACAATTAATCCAAGAAACATTATTGCCAGGAAACTGGCCAGTTCTGAGAAGAAGCAGTAATACGCTTGCTGCGAGGTCACGGCCTACCCCCCAGGAACCACACATGGAGCAAGTCAATTGCCATGTGAGACAAAGTGCTGTCATGCAGCTTGAGCAAAACTGGTTCCTCCGACCAAGGCTCAGTTGGCACATCCACTCTCCACAAAGCTTCCGGCGAGAGGTCTGTAAGTGGCCTCTCCATATCCTTGCTTGCCATGCAGAGAAAACATATTCGATTGGTGGTCGGCTTCCTCTTCAAATTCAAACTCTGAACAAGGTACTTCCAATCCCCTTTGCACGTTGCCACTTTGGCGTACAATCCATCAACTCCATTGTCAGTCCAGTCATTGATGGACTCCACAACAGCCTCTAGTACACTTTGAAGCGTCATGTTCACTTGCTCTCTCATGGCGTAAAAATTTTGAGGCACCAAGGCGATCAGGAACTTGGAGCGTTTTGCTTTGCTCCAATAAGGGCTCTGTTCACTAGACCAGTGCAGGGCCATGTACGAAGTACCTTGGATCTGCGCCTCATCGCCAAACAGCTGCAAGCCTATGGCAGGACAATTTGGAGGACCTGGTCTTGAGATGCCAAACTCTTCCTGCGTCAATTTCCAATACCGGTCTGACCCCTGGCCAAGACATTGTTCACTGTAGCCACAAGAGATCAGTTTATGGGCTAGCAGGTGCGGCAGAACTATCGGGAATGGTTGCAAGCTGATGTTACCTTCCCAATCTGACAGCGGGATGTGAATGTCTTTAATCACATGATCAAAGGCGAGCTTTCTTCGCACCATAGCTTTGTACGCAGCATCATCCTTTCGGGCACTTGACCTCGTCGACGTGTATGAAAACAATATATAAGGTAAGCGGTGTTAGACTTTGGGACAAGTAGCTGGAAGAGCTCACTTCCATACACATCCCCAATGCGAATCGCGTGAGCTAAGGTGGCCCTCCCATGGCCAACTTCTGACACGATCCTGGCGTTTGCGTTGACATCGGTCGCTCACGCCAGCAGGTGTATATATGTACACACCTTTCATCAAGGGCACGACGAAGAGCTTGACAACCTGTACCTGAAGAACAGCAGGATGAGCGCGTCAAATTGCAGCGGGCGGGCGCAGATGTTACAACGGAAAGGCTTGGTCGATCTACTAGCCGCCTTTTGGTCTCACCTTGCGCTAGATGCTTTTGCGAGGTTCAGGCTCTATACTCTATACTGCAAAACTGGGACCACTGTGTTGCTGTGCAGCGCAGCTTTTGCGCATATTAAAAAAACACACGTGTGATCCATTCCCGGTCATCGAGAAACAGGGCTCAAGGCAGGACGTAGCCCCTGGCAGCAAACGTGTTCAGACATGTTCCCAGAACTCAGAAATCCAAAGACTTGCCAAGCTGACTTCTTCAGCTCTTTCACCACAGCTTGGAGCTGAGCCACATGCATGCGAACGTCCCCAACCTGCAAGCATACCGCGCACAGGCTGGACAAGATCAATATGTAACACATCTACTTATAAGAGCTCCTTGTCTGTGACGTCCGTTAGAAACTTTGTAAAGGCATCTTCAGAGGACAGTTCCTGGCACCTGAAACATCAGAATGATTTGACAAAAATTCAATACAACAATGCACAAACGCACGCTCTCAATGTTCACAGAAAACGCCTGCGAAAGTGATTCCGCAAGTTCTCTCCCATACGCTGCAGATCCAGCAAAACCGGATCTCCCTTGACTTTGTCAAATGCAGAGGCGTCAAGAAGCACAGCGTCCAACTTGGCCAGTTCCTTCTTAATCTCTGAGCCTAAAAAAAACTGCCCCGTGACACAAATCCTATGGCACCAAACTGAATTATTACTTGGTCTGTTTGACTGATACAGGTCTAGGGTCTAGGGTTTGGGCACGCTG